AGATTTTATTTATTTATTCATGAGAGACACACAGAGAAAGGCAGAGACACAGGCAGAGGGAGAAGCAGGCTCCATGCAGGGAGCCCAATGTGGGACTTGATCCCGGGTCTCCAGGATCACGCCCTGGGCTGAAGGCGGCGCTAAACCGCTGAGTCACCCGGGTTGCCCTAATTCTGGATTTTTCAAAATTGCTTTTTAACCTTGTCTGAGGTTGTCTTAACTGTTTCCTTTGCTTGCCCAAACTTGCACATATTCACCCTTTAACAATTGTGAACTCAGTGTGTTTATCCACATTACATAAACCCTGGGTGCCCACAGTTTCTTAATCTCACTCCTTAATTTTTCTCTCGATTACTTCCTCTCTTATCTCTTCACTCACCACAACTTTTCATTTGCTTTCCCTTCTCTTTTTCAGCTCCCCGGCAGATAATTTTTAAACTAAACAACAGCTGAACAATATCCCCACTGTTCCATGTGTCTGAGTATGCACGGCACGTCCACACTTGCCCGGAACAGAAGGAAAACACAATTTCTTCCATTTTATTTGTTTGCATCAAAAGTGATTAAATCTGTCTGCATGACCTTCATACATCAGAGCATTTGGCTATTTTAAAAGTCTATTTAATAGAGTAAGTCAAGCTGCATTCCCTTGGTAGAAGGAACCTTTACCACCAAAGGGTGCAGTAAATGCCAAGGAACAAAGCATCTTTTGTGGGACAGAGGAGAGAGACACTGCTATCTTACAATTGCTGAATTGTTTAAATTATTATATCGCAGTTCTTGCTAGATACATATTTGCATTGTTGTACAAGAGTTTTGTTATTTTGGTTAAAGATGGCTTTTTGAAGGGATACCTACTCTTGCAAAGCAGACTTAGAAACCCCTGTTCCATGGTCTAGTATATTTAATTTTATTACCCTGGCTAGCAGTGTTTCAATTTTTTAAGAAAAGGCTATCATCAAGGAGGTAAAAGACTGCAAACAATCTCCAGTAACTCAGGCACCACCATATTTTATTTACTAACAGCTATAGTAAAGCTTTCAGTAAAAAATCCTAAATAGCACTTTCCTTTTGGGGGAGAATCAATTTCACAACAATCTTTCAACCTTATCTAAGACTATAAAGCTGAGTTGGCTATTTTGAAGTGAAGGGGGGAAAAAAGAAGTAGGAAAACTTTCATGATAAAATATTATGAGAAGAAAATGAAGAGAAATTGTCCAGAATTATATCAGCAACTCCCACTTTTAAATGTCAGAATTCTTGTGAGTTCTTTCTTGCTTTGATATTTGAGAGTCGAATGATGAATTCATCCATTCATTTATTCACCACCCATTGATCACCTCCATGCAAAGCACTCAATTAAGCAATGAAAATATAAAGAAAAGAGACATATGCCCTGTTCTCAGAAAGTTGATAGTTCAATGGCGGAAGTAGACATGTGGGCCAGCAGTTATAGTTATGTCTGAGATGCTATGACAGAGGGACATATGGGGAACTGGGGAACGTAGAGAGCCTGCTCTAGACTGAAGAGGGTGAGAATACTCAGAAAGGCTTCCTGGAGGCACCTAGAAGGACAAATGGGGGTTAGCTGACTGGAGAAGAAGGAAATAGGAGTTACAACTCTTCCTGTCATAAGCAATAAACAACACAGTGAAAACTGGCTTAATCAAAAAAAGAATATATTGGCTCAAATCCCTCAGGACATGAGCCATGGGATTTGGGCTTTGGGAATAGCTGGATCCAGGGTCTAGTACAATGTTGTTAGCGATTGCCATTGGTGGTCTAGCTAGCAGTATCTCCCTTCTTCCTTGCTAATAGAACCCAAAACATTTTTTCTTTGGAGTTGCTATGTCCTTCAGAAGTGGCTGAGCTTAACTAATTATATTTGTAGTGATCCTATTTCCAAATACAGTCACATTCTGAAGTACTGGGAGTTAGGACATCAACATATGAATTTGAGTCTGGGAGGACACAGTTCAATCCACAACACCCTGCCTTTCTCTCCTCCCTGTCTCAGATCTCCTGCTGGTACCTCTCACTGGCTGGACCCACCTAGCGAGTAAGGGAGCCTGGTTGAAGTGAACCGTAAAATCATCCTCCTGAGGCACAGAGCACAGTGCAGAGGGTAGACCTAGAGAGAAAAAGAGAGAGTTTCCAACAGACTCGGGAAATCCCCCTTCATTCTTGGGAAGGTTCTTCTTACACGGTAACCATCACCTCCAGATTTACTTGGTTCTTATCCCTGCTATCTTAAAGGGAGATGTGACAACCTTCTATCTCCTGGTTTCTGTAACAATTCTCTTTTTATTTAATTTAAATTTAATTAATTAATATATAATGTATTATTGGTTTCAGAGGTAGAGTTCAGTGATTCATCAGTCTTGTATAACACCCAGTGCTCATCACGTCACATGCCCTCCTTAATACCCATCACCCAGTTACCCCATCTCCCCACCCCCTCCTCTCTAGCAACCCTCAGTTTGTTTCTTATAGTTGAGAGTTTCTTATGGTTTGTATCCCTCTCTGATTTTGTCTTGTTTTATTTTTTCCTCTCTTCTCCTATGATCCTCTGTTTTGTTTCTTAAATTCTACATATAAGTGAGATCATATAATTGTCTTTCTCTGATTGACTTATTTTGCTTAGCACAATATCCTCTAGTTCTATCCGTGTCGTTGCAAGTGGCAAGATTTCATTTTTTTGGTGGCTGAGTAATATTCCATTATATATATTATATAATTATAAATTATTATATATAATGATATATTATATATAATAAATTATATATAATTTATATCCATTTATCCATTCATCTGTCGATGGATATCTGGGCTCTTTCTATAGCTTGGCTATTGTGGACATTGCTGCTATAAACATTGGGGTGCAGATACCCCTTTGGATCACTACATTTGTATCTTTGGGGTAAATGCCCAGTAGTACCATTGCTGGGTCATAGAGTAGCTCTATTTTCAACTTTTTGAGGAACCTCCATACTGTTTTCCAGAGTGGCTTCACAGTTTGCATTCCCCCAGTATACAAGGGTTCCCTTTTCTCCCCATCCTCACCAACATCTGTCGTTTCCTGACTTAATTTTTGTAATTCTAACTGATGTGAAGTGGTATCTCATTGTGGTTTTTTATTTGTATTTCCCTGATGCCGAGTGATCTTGGGCATTTTTCCTTGTGCCTATTGGCCATTTGTATGTCTTCTTAGGAGAAATGTCTTTTCATGTCTTCCTGATTAGATTATTCTTTGAATGTTGAGTTTGATAAGTTCTCTGTAGATTTTGGATATTAGCCCTTTATCTGATATAACATTTGCAAATATCTTCTCCCATTCTGTTGGTTGTCTTTTGGTTTTGTTGGCTGTTTCCTTTGCTGTGCAAAAGCTTTTTATCTTGATGAAGTCCCAATAGTTAATTTTTGCCTTTGTTTCTCTTGCCTTTGGAGACATGTCTAGCAAGAAGTTTGCTGTGGCTGAGGTCATAGAGGTTGCTGCCTGTATTTTCCTCTAGGATTTTGATGGATTCCTATCTCACATTTAGGTCTTTCATCCATTTTGAATCTATTTTTGTGTATGGTATGAGGAAATGGTCCAGTTCCATTCTTCTGCATGTGGCTGCCCAATTTTCCCAACACCATTAGTTGAAGAGACTGTCTTTTTTCTCCATTGGATACTCTTTTTTTTTCCATTGGATATTCTTTAATGCTTTGTCGAAGATTAGTTGACCATAGAGTTGAGGGTCCATTTCTGGATTCTCTGTTCAGTTCCCTTGATCTATGTGTCTGTTTTTGTGCCAATACCACACTGTCTTGATCATTACAGCTCTGTAATAAAGCTTGAAGTCCAGAATTGTGATGCCACCAATTTTAGTTTTCTTTTTTCAATATTCTTTTAGCTATTTGAGGTGTTTTCTGGTTCCATACAAATTTTAGAATTATTTGTTCCAACTTTATGAAGTAACTTGATGGTATTTTGATAGGGATTGCACTGAATGCATAGACTGTTCTAGGTAGTACAGTTCTCTTAAAGGAGTTGACTGATTCCATTTAGGTTACAAGAGACTTTCAGTGGATTCAGGAGGCAGGATATCTGGTGGCCCACCCCATGCCTTCTTAGCATGCCTTCTCTCCCAGTACTCTGGAAGGTTTTTTCCTTGTGGTTTACTGGCTATCTATCTATCTCTTAGGGACTGCATTCACTGGCATGTAATGAAAACTCAAGAACAGTGGTAATAAACCAAATGACATTTATTTCCCCTTACATATCAGGATATTCAAAGTAGGTCAGATCCAAGCTGGCATAGAGATTAAGGAAGTCATCATTGACCCAGGCTCCTTCTAACCTAACCTGCTCTACCATCCTTAGTATGTGGCTTTTAGCCTCATCGTTGAAAGGTGCTATTCCATGTCCAGTCACACATCTGTATTCTAGATTGAAAGAAGCAGAAGGAAGCTTCAAGGAAGGAGGGGCAGCAGAAATTGAGAAAGCAGAACTTTTTCAGAAGTCCATAGGACCTGTTCATTTCTATCTCATAGGGCAGAACTGTGTCATGACTGTTCCTTGCTATAAATAAATAAAATCTTTAAAACAACAACAACAACAAAAAAGATGACTAAAGAAATGTCTTCAGAATCCTTTTTTTTTTTAAGATTTTATTTATTTATTCATGAGAGACACACAGAGAGAGGCAGAGACACAGACAGAGGGAGAAGCAGGCTCCATGCAGGGAGCCTGATGCAGGACTTGATCCCAGGACTCCAGGATCACGCCCTGGGCTGAAGGCAGGCACTAAACCGCTGAGCCACCCAGGCGTCCCTGTCTTCAGAATTCTTTGCATCACCCCGATTTACTGTTTGTTGATACACTTATAAACCCCATAAAAGACTCATGCATATTTCATCTAACACAAAAAAAATCAATTAACCTCTCTTCCTTTGTCCTACTCAGACATGTGGACAAAGAGTATAATTTAATTCTCTCTTCTCTCTTTTCTCTTTAGAGAAAAAGAACCAAATTCATTGCCTGTAATTTTCTGACCGAGTGGTTATACAAGTAAGTTTTGCATGTCTTTGAATATTCAATGACCCTAAGGATTCAATAGTGTTAATTTGCAAGCAGAATAGCAACAATTGACTTGAATTTTTGCTTACTGTTTTTTTTATCAATCAAACATATGGCATCGTTTCCAGTCAAAATCCAAAGAGGATAGGGGAGTCTTTCACAGAATTCTTCTCCATTCCATTTGTGGAGCAGTGGCTGAAGCATCAGTAAGTACCAACACAAGGCCTCTAATAATTTATTCCTATTTTAAGATTGTGTTAATGATGGTTTTCTCCAATCCAGCTAACTCATGTAATCCACCCAGGTCTCCAGGTCAGTTATATTTGTGGCTCTTGTCTCTAGTTATTTTCAGTATAGGCTAAGAACATCCCATCCATGTGGTGATTATTCAAGAAGAACTTCAGAAATAAAGCAGAAAACTTAAAAAAAAAATCTTATCCTAAGTAATTGATCTCTCCGTTCTTTCTACCTACCTCTCTTTTTCCCTTCCTCCCTCCCTGCCCCATCTCAAGGTTATTATGTCTCAAGAAATATGACTAAACTTTTCTAAATATTAATTTTTAGTTGTATGCATCAATTCTACATTTTAGGGCTCCTGGGTGGCTCAGTGGTTGAGTATCTGCCTTCGGCTCAGGTGATGATCCTGGTGTCCTAGGATGGAGTCCCACATTGGGCTCCCCGCAGGAAGCCTGCTTCTCCTTCTGCCTGTGTCTCTGCTTTTCTCTTTGTGTCTCTCATGAATGAATAAACATTTTTTTTTAAATTCTACATTTTAAATATTTACCAACTGAACAGCCAGGCACCCCTTTACCAGCTTTTTAAAAATCTGAGACCAGCTACACATTGAAAGAAGAATATTAGAAAACCTTGTTTTCTTATTTAGCTTCTAAACCTGTGCCTAATTTTGCCCACTATGAAAATGGAAGGCCCATAATGTACTGAGTAAAAATGATTACTAAGTGGAAAATTTGCATGTTTTTCTATGACAAGGTTTTTTTCAGTATCATTCTCCACACGTTGTTGCTTTGCTTTGAAAATGAAACATTTTCCCACTTTTAATAACCAATAAAAAAGAATCTTAAGGATAGGAGAACTTCTCTAAAAAAGAATCCGCTCAAATACCTAGTCATTTATTGTATAAATATCTTAATTTAAAATGGTTGCTAACTTCCCTGCCAGCTCATATAAACATACTAAGTGATGAAAGTGATCATTTCACTTTAACTCCACAAGAACCGAAACACAAGAGCTCTCACTTTAATGGGCATTTGCATTCTTTATTTCCATAATCTTCCAAAGAGATGCCAAGAAGCATGATAAAACTTTAAATTATATTAATCTAATTTGGTGCAATACATAGTTCTTAATCACCTGACCACATGCAATGTACAGAGCCTGGTGTTGTGGAGTAAATAGAGATGAATAAAATATAGCTCTGGCTCTGGGGGTAAGAGAGACATATTTACAGCTAACTAAAGTTTCTGTGGTGGGTGTTGTAATACAGGTTCAGCACTAAAGGGAAATGGGGAAGCACAAGACCATTCACAGACCCTCCCAGTTGGGACAGTGGCCAAGCTGGTTGGTACTCAGATTTGGTTTTAAGAGGCAAGGACTCGGGTGCTATATCCTTCTCAAAGATATTTTTGATCAGAGGAGTCAGAGAGACAAGTAAGAACGAGGGCATGACCTGGGAAATAATATCTAATTCAGGTTTCTTGAACCTCAGCACTATTGACATTTAGCACCAGATAATTATCTGACGTGGGGTTGGCCTGTGCATTGTGGAATGTTCAGCAAATTCTCTGGCCTCCACCCACCAGATGCCAATAGCACCTCCCTAAAGCCATACCATCAAGAATATCTCCAGACACTAGCAAATGTCAGGGGAGTGAGGGCCTGAGCAGGGCAAGGAGACAACAAAGTAGCCTCTGGTTGAGAACCTCTGACCTAATCCAGTGGTTTCCTACCCTGGCTGCACTTGAAAGTCATCTGAGGAGCTTTTGTTGCCTGGCCTCACCCAAGACTGATTAAATGAGCCCTATTAATTCAGGGTATAGCCCAGGAATTGTTTTTTTTTTTAATAGTTTCCTGGGTGATTCTAATATACAGCCAGAGTTGAGACCTCTCCCCTACAGCAGAAGAAGTGCTGTGTCTAAATAAATAGTATAATCACATTATTCTAGTAAAAAATAGTATAGTTAAGGTAATAAATAGTATAATTTAGTCATCCCTCTGCTAAGCACTTTTACACAGGTTGTCTTATTTAATCTTAATGACAACACTAAGATCTAGATGCTAAAGCTGAAAGGATCTGGGAAGTTGCAAACAAAGTGAGGTAGGTCTTAGGCAAATATGGTGATTGTTGGCAGCATAATAAATGGGCATTTTGAAGAAGGCTTAAAGGTACACATTGGAGGTAGGTGAATTTTGAGGGAAGACTGTCAATGTTTTTTAAAGGAAGCAAAATATAAGCTAGCATTTCAGGCAGCTTTGGGTTGGGGTTAAGAGCATAAGCTCCGTAGACAGACAAACCAGCATTCAGATCTCTATTCTACTACTTACTAGTTGCATGACCCTGGGTGTTTTAGTTTCTATTACTCTGTAAAAAATTACTCCAGCACTTAGTGGCTTGAAACAATCAATACTTCCTATATCATCATTTCTGTGGATCAGGAATTCAGGGCAGCTCAGCTGGGTAATTCTGGTTCAAGGTCTATCATTGGCCATGGTCAAGATATCGCAGGGCCTGTAGTGCTCTGAAGGTACGACTGAGCAGAGAGGGAGCCACTTTCAGGTTGGCTTAGCCACAGGGTGATGGTCAAAGGCCTCTGTTTTTCTCCACATGGGCTGTTTGAGTGTCCTCCCAATGCGGCAATTGATCTCTCTTAGGATGAGAAACTAGAGACCAAGAAGGAAGCTGCAGATTAAAAAAAAAAAAAAAAAAAAGAAGCTGCAGGGCTTTTTGTGACCCAATCTGGGAAGCCAAACACCTGCACTTTGACTATATTTAGTTAGGTTTTTTTTTTTTTAAGATTTTATTTATTCATGAGAGACACACAGAGAGAGGCAGAGACATAGGAAGAGGGAGGAGAAGCAGGCTCCATCCAGAGAGCCCGATGCAGGACTTGATCCTGGGCCTCTGGGATCACGCCCTGAGCCAAAGGCAGTCACTTAATCGCTGAGCCACCCAGGCGTCCCTCATATTTAGTTAATTAGAAGTTAGTCTCTAAGTACAGCTCAAGTGCCACGTTCAATGGGAGTGTGATGAGGCTTCACCTTTTGAAGGGAAGAATATCAAATCATGTGCAGACATATTTTAAAAGCGCCATAGCAGGTCACTCTGTAAGCCTCCATATCCTCATCAGTAAAATGTTTAGATAAGTAAAATTAGAAAGACGCAGTGAAATGATTCACTTACAAATGAAATCACAACAGGCCCAGCCTATAGTAACATGTGGCTCACTGGTGACTGCAGTTGCCATCAAAGGACACTGTGGACTTAGGAAGAGAGATACAACAGAAAAGGGTACTCAAGACCAAAGGCAAAGGTGGAAGAAGGCAGGACTTGGTCCAAGCACAGGAAATCAGCACAGCTGGCTCCTAGAGCATGTCAAGATACAGGGATAGGATAGAAGATAAGGCTGAAAGGGAGTTAGGGAGTAGATTTTGTTTTTTCAGCAAAACCATGAAGTTTGGGCATTATTCCATAAGTGAAAGAGACAGTATTAAAAGATTTTGGAGCAGAGGTGTAATGTGAGCAGGCTGTTTTGGCAAGATAACTCTCAGGAGGGCAGGGGTTATGTGAGATTGGGGAAAGCCTGGTTACAGCCTTCAGATCTTGAACTGGGGCAGCAAGAATAGAAAAGGAGGTAGTTGGGGTGGGTAGAGTGGATGGATGTCACAAGATGAGTTTGGCAGTGGAGAAGAGATGTGCCTGAAAAGATGAGAATTTGCTGGGCAAAGGGGAGGCCCAGGATAGAAGCAAAGAGATCTAGCCAGGAAAACAGGCTCAAGGGTAAAGATAAGGATTTCTATCTTAAGCACATTGAGATTGAGGTGCCTCTAGGACATCCATATTGCAAACATTGGCCTGAAGCTCAGAAGTGGGGTCTGGAGAGAAATGTTGATTTTGGAATCAAGGTTCCCATGTCAGATGTACAGATGGAGCCAAGAGCCAAGATGGACCACAGCTAAACTTTGGAGTACCCCAGAATTGGTTCCAGAGACTCAATGAAGGAGGCACTTACTCTAAGTCATGTGGTTGGCAGTGGTGATCATGGCTTGTTTTCTAGTTGTTGCAAAGCAAGTAATTGTTTCTGCTTAGATTTTATGTATGTATGTTTGTTTATTTTTTTAAAGATTTTACTTATTTATTCATGAGAGTATGCACAGAGAGAGAGAGAGAGAGAGAGAGAGAGGCAGAGACATAGACAGAGGGAGAAGCAGGCTCCATGCAGGGAACTCAACGTGGGATCCGTCCCGGGACTCCAGGATGGCGCCCTGGGCCGAAGCCAGGTGCTAAACCGCTGAGCCACCCACGGATCCCTTTTATGTTGATTTAAATGACCAGCATTTTTGCTGCTATAACAAATTACTACAAACTTGGTGGCTTTAACCATTGCAAAGTTATCGTCTTACAGTTCTGGAAGTCAGAAGACTGACACGGGTCTCCCAGGGCTAAAAACAAGTTGTGGACTGGCTGCATTCTTTTCCAGAGGCTCTAGGGGAGAACCCATTTCCTTGCCTTTTGCAGCTTCTCGAGGCTTCCTGTATTGGCTGGTGGTGTCTTCCTCCATCTTCAAAGCCAGCAGCATTGCATATTTCTTTTTATTTTATTTTATTTTATTTTATTTTATTTTATTTTATTTTATTTTATTTTATTTATTTATTTATGATAGTCACAGAGAGAGAGAGAGAAAGAGAGAGAGAGAGGCAGAGACACAGGCAGAGGGAGAAGCAGGCTCCATGCACCGGGAGCCCGACGTGGGGTTCGATCCCGGGTCTCCAGAATCACGCCCTGGGCCAAAGGCAGGCGCCAAACTGCTGCGCCACCCAGGGATCCCGCATTGCATATTTCTGATCCTGTCTCATTAGTCACATTTCTCTCTCTCTCTTTTGCCTCCCTCTTCAACTGTTAAGGACTCCTATGATTGCATTGGCTCACCCAGCTAATTCAGAATATTTTTCCCATCTCAAGGTCTTTAAT